TTTCCACTTTGTCATTCATTTGCCTAACATTGTTCTGATATAAAGAAATGTATTTATCATATTCACCCATACCTGAGTCTGCAAATATTCATCTGGAAATTGGGGGGAGTGGGCATTCTTCTGCAAGGTATACAGTTGACAGAAACTTGGCCCACCAACAGGGCAACCTTCGATAAGGTAGATAGTAATCTCCTGCAATCATTTATAATGAACTTTAAAAATAATTAATAATCAGTTGTTAAAAGAAGAAGTACAATTGTGTATTTTCTTAAAATTCTAATTCATTTGTTAAAACCAAAAACAATCTTTCCATATCATTTTCAGCAAATGAACTAATTTATGTTCATCCTTTGCTAACAGTATTAATTTTCTCTGTAATATTTTTTGTAGATATTGAATATATTTTTTGTGCAGATGTCATATATATTTTTGTATATATTTTATCTAGATAACATATATATTGTGTAAATATTGTATTTCTATATTTTGTGTAGATATATAATTTTTGCGTAGATTATTGTATGTATATTTTGTAGATATTGTATATGTTTTTTTGTAATCGTATATATAGTTTGTGTAGATATTGTATACATATTTTGTGTAGATACCATATATATTTTTGTGTAGATATTGTGTGTGTATATATATATATATATATATATATATATATAATTTATATATCTTTAAGTATAGGTATTGTACATTTATTTTTGTGTAGATATCATATATTTTTTCCTCTTTTTTTGAAAGAATAAATTGCCTGTGTTGTTGTTTTCCAAATTTTCAAAAACAATTTTCACCAAAAGAAAAACTTGAAATTACAAAACAGATAAGCATTTTGATTTATCTTTCAAATTCATTTTTTTTTTTTTATTTTTTTACTGTTCAAGATGTTGATACTTTCTTCTGCTTTTGTCAATTTTATTTGAGAAGCAAACTTAGCCCTCAGCCAATTCTTTTTTCTTATTCTAGGCTGAGTATTATGTGAGCAAATTACATATATTTTTACTTTCTTTCTACAGATATTTATTAATAAAATAAAATCATTCTCTTAATTTATATATGAATCCTAATTCTGATTTTCATGTATTGTCTTCCAGAACAGCTCTGGAAAATCACATCTTTTTTGCAAAATAAATGTCTTTCTTATTGTTATATATATATATATATATATATATATATTGGCAGCATGTTTTCATTGAGACATGTTTCATTGTATAATTTAGACAAGTTTTGTCTACTTATTTTCATTTGGATCCTTTCATATTCATGGACAATCTTTTCAGTGTCATTATTAAAGGAAGAGTGGAAATTATCATGTTGATACATATTATTTATTCTCAATAGTTTCAATGTTAGTACAATGTCATCATCAGGATGTTTATATCAAGACAAATATTGTAGTGTTCATCATTTTCAAAGACAAAATTTCCGTGTTCATCTAAAAGTTAAAATTTCTTACTTGTGAAGTGAAGAATGCTGAGGTTACTGCTGTGCAATTAGCTTGAGTAATGCTTCAGGGGAGGTAACTAAGTTATGAGTTTGTTGAGAGCATTTTTTTTTTTTTAATAATTATTAAAAACTATTAGTTTAAAACATTGAGGTTTGTACTATCTATTGTAAACATTTTAAAACATTTTTGCAGTATTCATAATTAATTTTCATTAAGGTTTGTTTTCAGTTTTTTAATATAGATAACTTCAAAAATTTTTAGTTTATGTGTATTATTTTCATGAAAAATTATTGTTGCATTTTCAACAAGAATTTTTCTGAATTGCCGAAGTGGACATCTATGCTGTTGAAAATGTTTAGAAATGTTGGGTGCATCATTCAAATAATGTAATTTTATTTACTATTTATTTATTTTTTTCTCAATAGGAGTAGATAGGTTGGCCTATTGTTTGGTTCACTCTCCTGCCCAGCCTTTTGAACAGTTGAGGTTTATCCTTGTTTCTTACTTATAAATGGGTTCCCGGTTCCTTGTAAATTCTGCTTCAGCTCTTTACTCCTAACGTCTAAGCCTGAACTCTAAAAATTTATTCACTATTTATTTCATTTTATCATTCTCTCCTCTACCAATTGGGGTAGATATGTTCCCCTATCGTCCGGTTCACTATTGTCCCTTGTTTCCTGTGTAGGATTGGGTAACCGGCTCTTTCTAAAATCTACTTCAACTCTATACTCCTAACACTTGTCCTTTCTTATGCTAATCCAATTCCACATGATAACCCTCTATCCTGAGTGGCTCTTGGGCATTGTATTGGGTGAATATTAGAAAAAAAATTATGGACAAAAGTGCTCAATATCAGAGATAGAGTGTATGTGAATATAAAAGAAGGCACTGAGGTCAGCAGCAAGTAACAAGAGTCTGGTTCATGCTTGAACGAAATCTCCAGGCCATGAAGATTGCGTTCAAGCATGAAACCGACTGTCACCACTTAGTGTTGATCTCAGTGCCCACTTTTTATGTTTTATATATATATATATATATATATATATATATATAAAAACACAGTGCAATGGAAGGGAGACAACTCTAGCACTGCAAAATGTTAAGTATAATAGCACAAATATCTTAAATGAGAATGATTCATCTCAAACTGACAGGAGATGACTGTACTTTTCTTTTTTTATAACGAGAAGAAAGATGGAGTATGAATCAGCTGAAATATTGTGCTAACAACAAAAGCAGCAAAAAGAATTAATTAGAATGATAGTTTTAACAATTATCAAAATGAAAATGTGTCTTCTGAAAATTATGAAAGCACATGTAACTATTCTCCTTTACCTTTCTTCTTCTTTTTATGGTTCTCCACAACTTCCTGTCTTTTGTTATCCCTTGATTTTGTTGTCCTTGCTATGTTTCCCATTTACTCAAACTCATCAAGTAGTTGCTGCTTTCCCCTGTTTCTCTTGCCTTCAATATATACACATTTCTTCCTATGCCCCTTCAGGATCTTGGCAATCACAGCTCTCCACAGTTTCCTGTTATTTGCAACTGGAGTATTGCTGCCATATATGGTCTGGAGCCCCTTCTGTTTTCCTTAGGGTTCTTGATAGGCTCCAGAGGCGGATATGCAATATAACTGGCCCTGTTCTGGCATCTCGTCTACAGTCACTTTCTCACAGACGCGTCATCGCCTCTCTCTTTTTGACAAATACTTTCATGGCAATTGCTCCAAGGAGCTGCATTCGCTGGTTCCCAGACTTCATGAGTTCAAGCGCCCTACGAGGCTGGCATCCTGCTCTCACCCCTTCACTGTCGAAACTCCTAAATGTAGCTGTCTCTTCTACTCCAATAGCGTCATGTCTTGCACCTCTCGCCTGTGGAACTTCCTTCCCTATTCCAGTTTCCCTGAGAGCTATAATCTCCAGCTATTCAAATGTAATGTCAATTGACATCTCCAGTTGCCTTGATCTATCCACTACCCTTCTCCTCATCCTTTCTTCTATCACTCCTATCTGATCTTGCTCCAAATTTTCTGTAACCCCTTGCGTCCTAGTGGCTTCACACCTTGCTTGGGGTGAAACGCTTAAAAAAAAAAACTCTTAGGAAAGTCTTTTTGCTATCTCTCCCAATCCCTGTTCTGTCATCAGTTTACGCAAGCTTGTTAGATAGTTTATGCACTGTTCCACATTTTAAAAAATCTTTTTATCATTACATACCAAGCAAGACAATAAAGCCACTAAGATGCAAGGAGTTACTCAGTGTTAAAGAACATATAAAAAATAAACACTATTAAGAAGAGAGAACAATAAAAGATAAAATTTAAAATACAGAAGATAATGATTAATTTTTGAAGATCAAAGTTCATTGGTTAGCAAGAAGCTAGAAGAAAGTTCCACAAGCAACAAGTGCAAGAAAAGAAACTATTAACTTATGCTTTCATCTAACCATTTCAGTCTAGCCTTCAATATGTCCTGTGAGTGTCAAATTTTCTAAGCCCCCTTTCCTCATTATGTGGCCTGGAAATTTCAACTAGCTTTTTCTGATTCTAAGTATGTGTCCATTTTGTTTTCATTTTCCTCATAACTTCCTTGTTGCTCACATGATCAGTCTATGGTATTCGAATCATCCTTCTGTTTTCTCAAATTTGTCTAAATTCACCTCTTATTAAGAAATGAATTTAAAAGGTAGTTTTGTCCCTATGTTTGCTTATCTTAATTTCTTTATGTCTTTAAAAAGATTTTTAATCTGAATATACCCTTATTACTTTGGGCACCTCGAGGCAGTGTAATGGTTAACAAGCTTGTCTCACTAAATCATTTACAACTGAGTAGTGAGTTCAATCCTCAGTGGGTGCCCCCTACTTTTGGCCTTGTGCCACATCTAAGCTATGCTTGGAAAATCACTATACCCTTATTGCTTACCTAACCTTTCTCACATATAATAGCATTATATTGTTGACTTGTATTAGTTTTTGCAATTGGTACAGTATTATCTTGTAGGTAAATTCTTGACAGATAGTGAAATCCATAGATAATCAGGAACAATATGTACTTGGTATGTCCAAAAATTCCCTTCAGGATGTGGGTGACCATGACTCTCCACAACATCCTATCTGTTGTAGCTCTTCATAAGCTTAAGTTTTACCTTTTCATCATCCTTCACATTTTCTGTTCTGCACAAGTTTGGGTTACTTATGGTCTCCCTTTTGCCTTTAATATGCCCTTTGAGTGTCAAATTCTTCAAGCCCTCTTTCCTCATGTGCCTTAGAAATTTCAGCTATCTCTTTCTGATTCAAAATATAAGCGTCCTTTTTGTTCCTAATTTCCTTAAAACTTTCTTGTTGTTTATCTGTTCAGTCTATGATATTCTCATCATCCTTCTGTAGAATCTTATTTCTGTTTAAGTAATATGAGATGACCTTCATTTAATCAAACTGAATTTAAAAGGTACATTTGTCCCAATGTTTGCTTATCTTAATTTCTTTTCATCCAAAAAAAGATTTTTTTTCTTTTAATATAACTTACATAACCTTTCTCATTAATTTTTTTAGCAATGTCAAGGATATTCATTCTGTACTGGAAGTGACTGTGTTTGATGAAGACAGGGATAAAAAAGTGGAGTTTTTAGGAAAAGTCTGCATACCATTACTGAAGGTAAGAAAAATACATTTCTTTTCTTCTTCTTAATTTTGTTCCTCGTGTATAATTTGCATTTTTTATACTAGAATTCACCCAATACAAGGCTTGAGAGCCATTCAGAGTAAACTGATTCATTTTCTATGATTTGTCAACCCTTTTCAGGTTATTTAAAGCCAGAAAATATTTTTAGATTGTAAGATTTTTTTTTTGCTGATGATAATGATTTAGTGATACAAGTTCTACTAATTAACCCTTAGCAGCAGGGAGGACAGATGGATTTATACCTAATCAGAATTTCATAAACAAATAAGAAATGTGGATATAAAGTGGGGGATCAATTTGATATTACAATCAATACATAAACTGATCCATCACTTTATGGCCACAGTAGTTTCTCTAAATTTCTATTCCAGAGAATGAAAATAACTCTAAAAGACATACCTGTCTAGCTAATCAATATTTCATTGAATGACTGATTCATTTTCTACAGCTTATAAGTAAATATAATGAAGTACAGACTGTACAAATTGCTGGTAGTCTCCATTCTCCTACATGGATGTGCCATGTGGATACCGCTGGTAGAAACAGAGAGAATGTTCCAGGCATTTGAGAACAAATGCATAAGAAAACTCCTTGGCATCTACTATTGGAAACATAAAACCAATGAGTTTCTTCAGAAAATGGTTAAAAGTTTTGTGGGCCACCAGAAACCTCTTCTCTTCATTGTGAAATGGAGAAAAATGGTATGGTTTGGACACATTACAAGGCACAACAGTTTGTGAAAGACCATCATGCAAGGCACCAACATAAAATCTAGTTGGACATTGTCAAACAATGGACAAATATAACTACACCAGAATTGCTGACAGCTGCTGTAGATGGACCATTGTGAAGAAGATTCAATATGGCTTCTGCATTTGGATCCCACTATGATTACAAAAGTCAAGATGATGATAATGATGAAATATAATGAACCCAATGGGAACTGGAACTTGGCTCACCAATTGACAATTCTAAGCCAGCATCCAGCACATCCAAACTTATAGCACTTGGTATTCCATGTATGTACTGACCAGACTTGACATTGCTTATCTTCAATGATCATACAGGAACCAGTCTTTGAATGTGATGTGGCTGTAAGCCACTCAAAGTAGAGCATTACTGAAGAAGGTGTGTGATATGAATGAAAGAATTGGTGGTAAGATGAAGACTATGAGGATGAGGATAGATAAGGATTGACTCTTGACTTGAAGAGGTTAAGATGGTAGGATTTAAGGAAGTGCCCATGTAGGAATCTGTTCCACAAATTTGCAGTTCTTGGGGAAAAACTGCTTGAGTGGAAATTTATATTAATAAAGATATATTGGTTCATATTTTAGCTTCATATTTGTAAATTGGTATCTTTTTAATCAAACCAATTTCTTTGTTACAGTGTGTACAGTGATATCTCGGCTTAAGTCATTTCAAGTTAAGTCATTTTCAAACATACATCGGTTTTTCTTAAATATTATATGGAAAAATAAAACTCACTTTAGGTTGTTTTACTAGAGTTTACATTATCCATTAAAAATATTAGAAACATCAAGACTAAAATAATAATGAACACATATAAAATCATATTAAATAAATTTTAAAATAATATTATGTATACTATATATCATGAAATCATCAAAAACAAAAATTAGCATAATAAAGTATGTTCAGCAGATTATTTCACATTCCTGATGACAAGCAGCATGTGTGTGTTATTTTCTGCTCGAAAACTGATTTTCAATTCAGACTTGTTTACATCTGTGCTCTGCCACTGACGTTCTTTCAGTTACATTTCAATTGATTTAGAATACATTTTTACCCAGAACTTCAGAGAAAAGTACTAATGCTAAGCATAAGGCTATATTGCTGGAAGCTAAGGTGGAAATTAATTATTTTATTCAGAATACTGTACGTATATATCATAAATACTATAATCAGTAATCGGGAGTGGTTATTTGCGGTTTATAGTGTGGTTATTCTGATTTAAGTCATTTTTTGACCTAAGTTGTGACTTCTAGAACCAATTAACAATGTATGGTGAGGTATACCTGTATTTGTTAACTTTCATCTCTACAAATAACTTGCTGCCATATCTGGGCTGGAGCTGCACAATTGTCACCTTCCAGACTTGATAGAATTCAGAATCATTCAAAATTGTTTACCCAGTCTTGTGGAGAAAGACTCTACGACCAATTTCTAACAGACTCTATGTTGCAAGCTTGTCACTATTCTATTACTATTTCAATGGCAAATGTTCAGATGAACATTCTATTTTTTTAGTTTCACCTGTCCAAACGTCTACAGCATGGACATGTCATGAAACTTCTATGGAGTCAAATGGCCATCATTTCCACTTAAACAGCTTTCTTTTTTTATACTAATGTTCACCTAATACAAGGCCCAAGAGCCACTCAAGGTAGAGAGTTACTGTACAGTGTTGTATGAGCATAAGAAAAGGCAAGAAGTTCAGGAAAGATAACAATTAACCCATCCGACTGTAGTGACTAGGAAAAAAACCTGCTGGGAGACTGTTCCACAAAACAGCAGTTCTTGGGAAGAAACTGTTCAAGGGAAACTTACTCCTTACTAATGGAATATAAAGGGAATGGGGATGATTCATCCTTGTGAATGTGGCAAGGTGGGTTCCAGTTACAAAGGTCAGGGCTGATGGAACTCCTGTAGTTCATCAAAACACTGGCCATGGAAATAGCAATATAGTGATGAAAGGCTTGTGATGTTTCCTCTGTGTTAAAGGGGTGGACAATAATTCATTACTCACAAGGCTGCATAGATGCTTTTGAACTCTATCAGGACAGGTAAGTAAGGAATGGACAACTTCTGTCCAGATAGGGCAGCAATACTCCATTTTTGGTCTGATCTAGCTCTTGTAAAGATAGAACAGGAGAGTGAATCAGATACTTACTGGAGTGGTACAATGACTTGACCATTTTTCCAACATCTTTAGCAATAGATTGTATAGCTGAGTTCCACTTGAGGACTGGAGAGAGAGCTTGAGTTTCAACAGACATTTAAGTCTTGCATTATACAGGGTGTGATGGATAAATTGTTGTTTAAATTAGGCAAAAATGAAAATAACGCTGACATCTCATTTTAACAGATATATTTACCAAAATTACACAAAAAATATCTTGAAATACTGAAGAGTAAATTTATTTAATAAAATTGCCATTGGCTTCAAACATGGTCTACAGACAACTTTGGAATCTCCTGTAACTCTTCTGTGTGGTCTCCTCCCGTAAGTTGGTGAATGCTGCCATAATGTTTGCCTTCAGTTCATCTTAATTTACATTGATTGGATTGAGACTTTTTTAAAATCACTAAAAATCACTGATTTTATATAATGTTTGTAACTTCCTAGTAATCTTTAAAATTAGGAAAATATTCTATTTAATCTCATATATATTTTTTTAAATTTTAGGTATTTTGGCTTTAAATTTACTATAGTTACCACTTTTATTTTCTGATAATGTCTGTATGAATGTCTATTTACAAAAATCAACAAAAAAATTCTTTTTAAAATACTGCAGATTGCTTAATTGTAGTAAGCTTGTCCATTTATGATTAGTAAATATAGTTTTTACTTTTAATAAAAATCATATAACTGGTACAAATTAATGCAAAATTTTAAAAGATTTAAAGTTTATAAATTTTTAATTTAAAATTTTAAAAAAATGAAATTCTTGAAACAATTCCTTATTCATCAAAAACATTTTTTTGTAAAACAATAATGTCTATAATATATCTTATTCATAAAAGCTATCTTAATTTAAAAATATCTTAGTTTTATTGCATTTTTTTTTATTTTATGATTCAGAGCAGACTTTATCCTGCTTATAACTAACAAACATTAAGTGGTTCAAAAATGAATTTCTCGAAATTTCATAAAATTAAATAAGTGTGTTGGGGGCGGTAACAGATGTAAAAAAAACAAAATATTTTAACCAAGATTTTATAAAATAATTTCATTCATTTGTGAATAATTCCAGAAACTTTAATAAAAATCCGACATTTATTTGAATTTTGCAAGAATTTTCAAATCAATGCGTTTTTCACCAAAAAAGACATTAAAATTTCTTATACTAATCTTTGGTCTCCTGCTGTCACAAGAAAAACAAAATTTTTGTTGTAGCATACCTACAGACGATAATGGGTATGTCCCGATTCACATAAATACAGTAGTAAATACTGTATGTTGGTCTGCAGTTGGAAATTCGTGTTCAGCTGTGCTGGTCAAACTCCCTGCATCCAGGCAGAGAGGATCACCAGGCGAGGCTATATTGAAGGGCAGAGTCTTGTCTTGGGAAACAGCTACCCAGCCCCGTTTTATACAGGGTCTATGGGGAATTTTTGGCCAAGCCTACAGGATCTGCACCCCACATTAAATTCAGCCTTGTGCCACATCTGACCATGTGGGACGATTGGTACATATCCTGCAGTTGGAGATTCATTGTGGAATTCACTTGACTCACTTCTAGCAGTTGATTACTTCGATGCACTGCTGGCGAATCTTATGTGTTGTTCATGTCCTGATTATTATCACTCATTACCAACCTTTATGTGATTATTCTATTCAGTAACCTTCCCTAGTTTGCAACAATTTTTAAACAAAATTTTGAAGGTTCTAAAAAGAATTAAAAAATATAATTAAATAACCAAAAAATCCTTTGGTGTTTACTCTTAATAATAATAAAGATTTTAATAAAACTGTTTTTATTAAGTTTAAGGCACTTTTTTTTTATCACATACTAGCAGGAGAGCCTGGCGTTGCCCGGGGATGTAACAGTAAGAGATAGATCAAGTATCAACCATCATAAAGACTGAAAAATAAAATTGACAAAGATTATTATTAGGTTGATGGACACGCATGTCTTAATTAGTTTTTTTTTGTTTTTTTTACGAATTGGTCAAACCCAAACTCAAACAAAAACATTGTTTTCAATCGTTATGAGTCTATCGATTGAATAGAATTTTATTATAAACAATTGTCTTGTAAATGGAATTTTTAAAGCATTCTGAATGTAAAAATAAAGAAAAAAGTGTGCAAGAGAATAACACTACCTGCCAAAAAAAGTGAAGTTTTGTTGAAATTGGTTGAAAAATGTAGGAAATCCGATCCCATATATAAATGAACACACACACACACAAGCAACCTGGATTTTATAATAAGTATAACTCGATATGAGTTGTCCCCTTTCATTCTGGCAACAGAATCGTGTTTTCAAATTGATTTCGTGCAAAAACAATTGTGTTTTTCCCATTTTTGGCACTGTCAGAACCACTGCAAGGTAATTTTACGCAGTCCTGTGAAGTTTTGTTGAAATCGGTTGAAAAATGTAGGAAATCCGATCCAATATATACACACACACACACACACACACACACACACACACACTGTGTTTTATAATAAGTAAGATGCTCATTTTTAGCAAATTTTTGGAGGTACATATATCAACAGGATTCAAATTTCTTAGATGAAGCATAGTCGATTTTTATTAATTTTTTATTAGGATTTCATTTATTTTATTAATAATAATAGGATGAAAGAAATGCAAATAAAAAATTAATAATTCACAAATTTTATTCTTAACATCTGCTGTGATATTAAAATTGCCAGATAATGTTAAAATACTTTCAAATGACATTTTATTATTCTCCTAATAACTTAGTTTTTAAATTAAATTAATTAAGAAGCCATTAGAATTAATTGTTAAGCACAAACACACCACTCAATAAAGACACTTAACTTGGGAGTGCCTTGGATTGTGGCACTTTGAGTACAAGTTTCATTGAGATAACATGAGCCATAATGGTTTTTATCTGTTCTTTGCTTGCATAACTGTTGTACACACAGACACAACTACAGTTTCTGAAAAATGGAGTGAGCAGGCCAGCTACCTGACAAACAGAAAGCAAGAGGGGACAGTGGGGAATAACAAGTAGCCTACCTAACAAGCTTGTATAAATGTATAGAAAAACAGGAACTGGAAGAGAAAGATGTGGAGGAAGCTTTAAAGAAAATAGAAACAAAAAGGACATTTATACTTAGGAAGAGGAAGCTGAAATTTCTTGGACACAATGAGGAAGGAGGGCTTAGAAAATTCAACACTCACAGGATATATCGAAGGCAAAAGCAACAGTGGAGTGAGCGAGCGAGCCACCTACCTGACTTGCTTGTATAGACTCATCCTGTTCTACCTGCAAACCCTAGTAACAGAACAGTCTATATCTTACGCCTACGTACAAATAACCTCAACCAATTAAAACTGTATTAGGCGAATAAAGAAATTTCATTGGATAACGACAATGATCTAAAAGCTTCACACGCTGAAATCGAAATTGCGCCAAAACCTTTTGAGCCAACTTTGGACCTTCGAAAACTTATATAAAGGAAAAACCAACTGACCAAAATCAGTCAGTGACAGCACCACAGAGAATTTGCTTACTTCACGTCGTTCGAAACCAGACTTTACCGCCAAAGAAACACCTCAACGCTGACTCACTAATAATTCAACATAACCAATTCTGTGGACACTAATTCTTAGATATTGCAACAAAGGATAGGGAGTTGTGGAGAGCCCACATCTTGAAAGGACACAGCACATAGAAGATGAATAACACATTTCAACATCTATTTCATTATATACTTGTGTATTTGGGTTTATATTCTATATGTATGACAAATTAATGTTCCCCACTAGAAAAATATCTTTATGTAACCAAATTCTATAATGCACCATGATTAACATTAACCTGTTATTTCACAGATAAAACCAGGAGAACGAAAATGGTACGCCCTGAAAGACAAGAAACTTATGCGGAAGACCAAAGGTTCCATATTACTCGAGATGGATCTCATCTTTAATCATGTAAGTTTTTTGTTTTTGATTTGCTGAGTCCTCAAAAGCTTTTTGCAATTTTTAGTCCTCAAAATCAGCTTTAAAAAATATCTTTCAAACTTTATATACATAGCTTTATTTGCTGACTGTAAGTAGTTCAATCATTTTAAAACAAATTCTATTTTAATTTTTTTTAATCATTTTACCCCAAGTAAGGCAATAAAGCCACTAAGATGCAAGGGTTGTGGGAGAATATGAAAAAAAATCACTATTAATGAAACAGAACAATAAAAGGACAGGAATTAAGAAGACAAGATAACGATTGTCATTGCATTTACATTTTTGAAGATTAGAGTTTACTGGAAAGCAGAAAAGAATTCCACAAGTGAGAAGAAATTACAGTTACCATTTCAACAGTAAAATGATGATACCTAGCAGCCAATCTAGTATTGCACTTAAATTCATAAAGTCTTGGTACCAAAAAGAAAAGTTCATCAGAACAATTACCATGAATATATTTATAAAAAAGGCATAGAGAAACTACATAACAGCAGAAAGAAAGTGACTAAACCAAGATGCCAGGTCAGGTCTAATAACATTGCAGATTCTTTTTTTATTTATTTTATCAAGAATTTCTAAATACAAAGCAGGAGCATCAGACCAGAAAAATATGTGTACTCCAGACATAAGCATGCAAACAGAACTGTTTTGATTTTTTTTTTTCCTGCTGATGCTAACCCTTGGAATATTTAAGGCAGATTTAGTTTGTGTTTCTCAGTTGTCAACTTGCAAGGTTATATGTCCAGAGTTTATTTGAATCTTATCACTTTTCTTTCTTTCTTTATTGTAGATCAAAGCTGGAATACGAACTATAAACCCAAAAGAAGATAAATTTATGCAGCCTGAACAAAAATTCAAAATATCAGTGAGTTGCAAACATACAACTATATGAGAAATCATTTTTTAAATACGATCATTATCAACACAATGGTTTTTTGGGTTTTTTTGCCTAGTCAATATCAGGATTCTTATGACTTTTGCTGTTATAATAGATTTTTTTTTAACCAATCCATTCTACAACCCTCTTTGTATTACTGAATGTAGAATGGACTCACCAAAGTATTGTGGTAACAACAAAAGCAAACAATGAGTTTGGATAATTTGTTTTGGAATGATAATGACTTGTCACAAAATTACAGAAGGTTTTTTGTATCCCTGAAGGCTGAAGAATTGATCAGTTGAAATTAAAAAAAAAAAAAAAAAAAAGAATGAGTTTATATTATAACATTTCATCTTAATTTTTTCTTGTCCTCTTTAGTCTTATTATTATATATATATGTCATATTGTCAGCATTATTATATAATATTCAAGGATACCAATCTACTAGGGAAGCTTGTTAATCCCTATTGCAGATGCTTGCTTGGGCACATTTGTGTTTGTTCAATGCCCACAGAGCCCACCTGTGGTTTATACTGCAACTACACTGAGAAAACCTTAGTTACAGTTTCTGGGAGAAAAGCATGTTATCTAGTGTGATCAACAATCTGAACACAGCCAGCATGCTCAAACCCTCAGTCATGATGACTTGTTGACTTCATGCCTTACAGCCATCGATGGCCCCCAAGGGTTCTGTGTACCCAATTTCATTCACAAGGCTTGGGTCAACCCATGGTATGATTTTCAGACACTTTCCAAAGGTGTTGCATGCTGGGATCGCCTACTCCAGACTGATAACATTTTGAATTCACCTTCCTGACAAATCAACCATGGTCAGATTCAAATACGGGTCTCATGGTCAGAAAACAAATGTTCTAATGACTAAGCCGTGTGTCCATATTATATAATATACTACTGTTATTATATATTATCAACATCATTATTATATAATATTATATTGCTGTCATTATTATTATTATAAAATGTTATATAACCATCAGTATTATTATGTTATATTACCATTACTTATTATTATATAATATTATATTACTGTCATTATTATTATAAAGCAGTATATTACCGTCATTATTATATAATGTTATATTACAAACATTATTATTATAAAATATTGTAGTATCATCATCATTATTATTATATAATGTTATATTAGTGTCATTTTTTATTATTATTTTATATTACTGTCAGTGTTATATAATGTTATATTATTGGCATTATTAGTATTTCATCTTATATTACTGACGTTATTATTATATAATGTTATATTACCATCATTATTATGATTATATAATGTTATGTTACTGATATTATTACTATTGTTTTATTACTGTTATTATAAAATGTTATGTTGTCTATGATTATTATTATTATTATTATTTCATCTTATATTACCATTATTATTATTATATAATTTGATATTACCAGCATTATTTTATTATATATATATTACTGTCATTATTAAATAACTGACACCATTTCATATATACAAGTTTATTAATCCTTTATACAAGTGTTGTTAAATAAAACAGGCAAAGAACAATGGTTATATTTCTTTACATTTTATACTGGATAAAAATTTATGAATGAACTGCAAATAGTTGAAGTTGAATTGGCTGAAAGAGAAAGTCCCCATACTTTTGAACACTCATTTGGGCATCATCAGAGAAGAGAAATTGAACACAAACTCAAAATAGGACGCACTAAGAGATGCTTTAGTGACATCGGCAAACGATATCATCCCAAAGGAGAAAGGACAAAGAAGAAAAAAAATGAATGGTGACTAATGAGATTTTGAACATGATGGAAAGAAGACAGAAAACCCTGTCAAGATAAGGAACAGAGTATAGAAAATTTCACAATGAAATAGGGGCCAAATGCAGGCAAGCTACAGAAGAATAGCTAAACGAAAAATGTACAGAAATAGAAAGATTGTGCATGTCTCTTTTGTTGGTCCTACTCAAACAAATAAGACAACTAACAGGACAGAAGACATGCTCGTCAACAGGCTGCCTAAAATCAAAGGATGGAATGCTCATATTAGAGAAGGAAAAATCCTTCAACACTGGAGCAAGTATATTAGAGAACTCTTCCACAACATAAGGGAACAACCAGCCATACACAGAACTACCGATGGACCTGGAATTCTAAAATTGAAGTAAAAGATGCATTGGCAATATTGAGCAGAAACAAGGCCACTGGGCCAGACAGAATTTTAACAGAAATACTGATAGCCTTAGATGACTTTAGCATAGACAAGATCACTGAAATAACAAATGAAATCGATATACCGGAAGACCTCAGCAGATCTATTTTCATAGCTATGCCTAAAAAACCAGACACAAATGAATGCGAACTCCACAAAACAATAAGCCTAATGAGCCATGTGACAAAACTCATCATCCGTATTCTGATGAATAGAGCACGCAGCAGAATCGAACCAGAAATAGGACAAGAACAGTGCAGGTTTGTTAAAGACACCAGAACAAGGAACACAATATTCATGCTCAGAATGTTATCAAAAAGAGCAATACAAATGCAGAAGGATGTGTACTTATGTTTCATAGACTATGACAAATGCAGAAGGATGTGTACTTATGTTTCATAGACTATGCAAAGGCCTTCAACAAAGTATGCCAAAAGGATCTGATGGAACTGCTCAGCAACCTATATATATTCAGGAAAGATATAAGAATAATCAAGAACCTATACTGGCAGCAAACAGCATGTATGTGCATAGGGAACAAGTTCAGTGAATATACAAAAATAGAAAGAGGCGTAAGGCAAGGAAGCGTCTTCTCACCTGACATGTTCAACCTATACAGCAAGGCAATTCTGAGGAAATTGGAAACCCTACCAGGATTTAACATTGGTGGCCACAGTCTTAACAACATAAGATATGCAGATAACACAATACTAAGTGAAACTGTAGATGTATTAGGATGGCCAAGGACATATTCCAAAAGCTTTGGTAACAAAGAAAAGAATACTAAGCCGTTATGTGATATCTGTCCTTTTTTACAGCAGTGAATGCTGGACGATTTCTTCAAAGATGAAGAAGAGACTCAAGGTGACAGAAATGTGGTTCTACAGAAGGATGCTATGGATATCAATGACCGAGCATGTGAGCAATGATGAGGTCTTAGAGAGGTTGCAAACAAGGAGGAGGCTTATACTTAACATCAGGAAGAGGCAGTTGAAGTTTCTGGGACACATAATGAGGAAGGAGGGCCTGAAGAATCTGATAGTCGTGGATTGAATAGAGGAAAATAGTGACAAGTGTATGTTGACGATTTCCTCAAAGATGAAGAAGAGACTCGAGACAACAGAAGTGTGGTTCCACAGAAGGATGCTGCTGATATCATGGACCAAGCGTGTGTGCAACGATGAGGTTGCAAACAAGGAGGAGGCTTATACTTAACAGCAGGAAGAGGCAGCTGAAGTTTCTGGGACACATAATGAGGAAGGAGGGCCTGGAGAACTTGATGGGTTGAGTAGAGGGAAAGAGAGACAAAGAAAAACAATGTGACATACCTGGTGGGCTTAAGCAAGTGAATGACAGAATGTGGTCTGAGGATGGTGGCAGAGGGAAAGAACTTGTTGGGAGCAGCAAGGGATAGAGAGAGGTGGAGAGCCATGAGGACCTACATCCTAAAAGGACATGGCACATAAAAAGAAAGAAAGAAAGGACATGCTCTTTTAACCAATCCAACTTCAAATACAGACAATCTATTTATAAATTTTCATCCAATATAAAACTTTTAATTCCACATCAAGAAAATTAATTGCAAAACATAACTGTCATTCTTTGTTTTAATTTACGACATCTGTATAAAGGCAAAAATTTTGTTTTTAATCTTGTGTCAGTGTCCATTCACCCTCCTCACCAGAAAAGCCTGGTGGGAGACCCAGTTTAGCTGCCTATGACCTAACCATGCACCCACTAATAGCACTCATAGAGAGATCTGACATAAAATTTGTAAAGTCAACAGCTATCTAGCATTATGGGATAATCACATGTCCATGACCAAGGTGAGCCTTCAACTTAGACATCAGATGTGTTTTTACCTGGAGAAGGATGGGCTCACTTGCCCAAGACACACTATGCATGAATGAAAATCTAGCTGGCATTCAACCCAGATTCTGTTATAACCAGTGCATAGTTATAAAAGGAAAAACAAGCAAGGATGAAAATTTCAACAGCTTGTATTGATCAATCTTCAGAATAGACACACAATACTCAATCCCAGCATTGTGTGAAAAGGACTTATTTGTGTGTATTCATTATTTGATTTTACAAGGTATATGCAGTTGTTTGCAAAAGTAGAGTGTCGTTGTTGGGGTTGATCTGTGATAAGGCCTGATAAGGTGCGTTGGTGGGTCAGTTGACTGAGGTTACAATGGTGATGATAAGAGAGCCCTGGAGCGGATCAGTGCAACTGTGAATCTGTGGTAGCAAATGCAGGGTGTCATTGATGAGATTGATCTGTCTATCCCCTCTATCTTCAGCATTGAAATTGGCAGCAGTGAAGTGTGTGGAAAGCTGTCAGTCTTGTGATGAGGTTGAGGTGATGGCTCCCATGCTCATCCCTTCCTTTTTTTCTTTGGTATTAACATTAATGATTGACAATTGTATTTTAGATTTTTACGGGGATTTGTTTTGTGGACTGGATGTGATGCTCAGAGCCTATGCACAGAAGATGAGTTTTTTTATTTAGGGATTTGCTTTCTTAGTGCTCACATATGGCCAACATGTCTAGTGAAATGTATTTGTGAATCAGAAAGAGATCTTGATTAAAGTACTATAACAGTATGCAAGGGGAACTGGTTAGGTGTTCACCATTTCAACACCTGGCCATAGGACTGATGGTGATAATGAATTTGACATCATGAAAAATTAATCAAGAAACGGATTTGTCATCTCTCTGCATGAAGGAAAATTTGGTGCTTAAGCAAATATTTTATGGTTGTAAAAAAAAACAATTGAGAAAAAGCCCAAGATATGAAAAATCAAAAAGTACAGAAGTCAGAAAACATGAGGCTGAAATCCAAATGTGCATTGGAATAGCAAAAGATGCCTTCCAAAAGCTAAGCAAAATACAAAGAAACCGGAAAATTTCATTAGAAACAAAGAAAAGAGTGCTGAACTATGATGCAATGTTATTCCTCTTCTGTCTATATTTTTAAAATGAGGTATTGCAATTATTTACATTATTTTCACCATTGTCCTCATCTTCATTGCCATATTCACAATGTTTCAGCCATTGTATACTACGGCCTTCTTCAGCTGATTAGACAAATATGAGGAACAATGTAAATAGTGTAAATAGTCATTCCTCTTATAAGTCAAGGTTGGACAATCTCCTCATATATGAAAAGAAAACTGGAGGCAACAGAATGTAGTTCTACAGAAGGATGTTGAGAATTCCATGGGTAGAGTACATAAGCACTGAAAAAGTCTTAAGGAAAATGTAACCAAAAAGGAAACTTAAACTCAGAATCAGAAAGAGACCAATAAAATATATGAGGAATGAGGGCTTGGAGAATTTGATACTTACAGAGCATGTGGAGGACAAGAAGGACAGGCAAAGGTATCAGGCCACCTACCTTGATTTTGCTTGAATCGATGGTAGAACTGGGTTAAGAGGTACAAGAGATAAGAGATTGTAGAAAGCCATAATTGACTACATCCTGAAAGAACAGGCACATAGAAAAAGAAGGAGAAAATAAACTTTTCTGCCTTATCTTTTCACTTGGTATCTGTCCATGTCCTTTTTAAGTAAAAACTAAAGATTACTGAGCTGTTGCATAATATCAGTCCTCATACATGACAGTGAATACTGGACAATCTCCTCACAGATGAAGAAGAGAATTGAAGCAACAGGAATGTGGTTCTACAGCAGTATACTGAGAATATCATAGACTGAACATGGGAACACCGACAAAGTTTTAGAGAAAATGGAAACAAGAAGGACACTTATACAGTGTGCGATGGATGAATTGTAATCTAAATTACACAAAAATGAAAATAACACTGACATCACATTTTAACAGATATATTTACGAAAGTTACACAAAAATATCTTGAAATACTAAAGTAAATTTATTCAATAAAATCGCCATTGTCTTCAACCACGGTCTCCAGATGACATTGGAATCTCCTGCATCTCTTCTGAACAGTCTTCTTGTTTAATTTAGTGAATGCTACCATAATCCTTGCTTTCAGTTCATCATTGGTTGGCCTCTTGCTCAACTGAGTCCCACACAGGATCAAGAGGGTTGTAGTCTGAGGAATTAGGTAGTTAGATGTAAGGGGTGATGTGATTGCAGAAATTGTCTGACAGCCATGACTGGGTTCTCCTGCTTATGTGGCATGGTGCAGAGTCCTGTTGCCAGTCATAGGGTCTTCCAGTAGCCACCATTTTGACCCAGGGCAGCACTATCTCAAGGCACTTGATGTAGGCTTCCATGTTAAGTTTAAAGCCCTGTGAAGATGAATGAAGGCATAATGCTGCCATCACTAGTGATCACTCCAAACACGATAATATTGACTGGATATATCATCCAACTGTTTCCAAATCTTCTATACTGTCCTCAGATTGACACCCAAACACTCTGAAATGTTTGTATTGGAGCTTCTCGTGCCAATGCCCAGCAGAACAATATGTTAATCCAACTTTCTGGTGGAGTGAAATGCATCATGGTGCTCTTTTTCTCACAGATGGTGCCCAACTGACCCTACTATACTGTGCACTTGATAAAATCAAAAACAATGTGCATGTGTGAAATTAAAAATAAAAGATGGCAACAATTTACCCATTGCACTCTGTACATCAGAAAGAGAGAGTTAAAATTTCTAGGGCACATAATGAGGAAAGAAAGTTTGGAAAATATGACACTCACAGGATATATTGAAGGCAAGAGGGACAGAGGTAAACAGGGTAAGCTTGTGTAAATGGATGGCAAAACAGGGATTAGGAGAGATAACAATAAAAAAAATTCTACTAAGAGCTACAAAGGACAGGAAATTGTGGAGAGCCATGATCGTCCACATCCTGCTGGAATATGGCATATAGAAGAAGAATCATGGAAATTAGAATGTAGGCTGTTTTAGCAATAAAAATAGCTTCCCCACAAGAAATATCTATATAGAAAATCTCAAGTTTATTTAAATATAAATGAAATAGCAAAAGTCAAAATACAAATTCATCTTAATGTCAACCAAAAGATTTCTGAAAGTAAATGTCATCGAAGACACAGGTATTTGTCTATTGTTCAAAATTGTCATGAGAAGTAAAAATATCATTGAGCAAGCAATCCATATAAGGGAGATAACTTTTTAATTTTTATCAGAACGCTGTATTTTTTTGGTTTTCTTAATCTTGACTATTTGTTGATAATTATGCAAATTTTTTTTAAAAAAATTAGTTATAATTCAGATGTATTTTTTGAAATAAACAAAATAAATCCAAATTTTTTAAAATAATCAAGAACATTCCTACAAAGCTCAGTAAATATAAAAATTATCATATACTCTTGAAATTTGTTTAAACTTCTTCCTTCATATATCTTTGTTATAATTATAGACAATAATCTTGAAAGGATACAGATATGTCGGAAAATTTTCAAGCTTCCCTCCAAAATCAAAAAAAATATGAACTTAAAACAATATGGTCATAATGTATGGAAAAACATTGTTTAAACTAATAGCTTGAGGATATGTGTTTGAGTAGAGTGCGTTTCTTTTTCTATGTGCCACATCCCTTTAGGATGTGGGCGATCATGGCTCTCCACCATTTCCTGTCTTTTCTGGTACTTAATAAGTTTTGTCTTTTATCTCTCCTAAACCCTGTTCTGCCACCCATTTACATAAGCTCCTTAGTTAGGTTATGCACTGTTTTCTCTGTCCCTCTTGCCTTCAATATGCCCTGTGGATATCAAGTTTTTCAAGCCCTCTTTCCTCATAGTGGGGTTACTTTATTGTAGTAGATTAGGTTGATGTTGATTACTAGCTTGAAGTCGGAGGAGTTACAGCTTGCTGCTGATGAGGATGAAGACTTTCAGAATGAATAAATACGAGACTTTTAAAAGAAATGGATTCCAACACATGGAAGAATTTATATATATATATATATATAAAAGCAATTCACCCAAGTAGGTACCGCTCAGTAGCTCTCCACATGTTGGAAACTGTGTGGAGAGCTACTGAGCTTAATGGGCCAAAACTTTGCTGAAGCACGGCACTCAGCTGAAGATTGCAGGTGGTTTGGAGCAGCACTTAATGTGTACATATGTTATCTCTCTCTCTCTCTATATATATATATATATATAAAATCAATTCACTCCAAGCAAGGTGATAAAGCCACTAAGACACAAGAGACTACTAAGAGAGAATGTGAGTGAGAAGACTTTAGAGGGAACCAGAAACCCAACCCTAAACAAAGGATAAATCCCCACTGTCCAAAAGGCCAGGGAATAAAATGAATAGGATAATAGGCAAACCTATCAACTCCCATTTATAAAAAGAACAACGTAAATCAAGAAATGAGAAAATATACTTGTGTGTAAACAGACAGCTGAAAAAGAAAGAAAACATGTTTATAGCTGTTGCTGTTTGAAAATGTGTGTGTGTGAAATTAACTAGTTGGTCTGCCAGGGAATGTATTCCTGGAGAGGAAGAGTTTGTGTCATAGCTACAACAGCCTGGAGCAAAAAGACGAAGAGTGAGACCACTGGCATCAACAATTAACTATCGATATACGACAATGCAATAATTCATGGAATATTTTTCTTACAAGTCTATCTCACTCAGCTACATATGTGTGTCCACATTTTTCGACTATTACCTTGTGTCATAAACTGAACAAACTCTCAGTCTCCCATGACTGATATATGACATCCAAGAATGAGTAAACAATCAAATGTTGTAAATAACAGGAAATAAAACCTCTTTTTGCATTGTTTTGTTGTTAATGGTAAGGCCAGCATTACAATTGCAATAAAACGATTGGTGGGATTTAAAGATTGTCAAATTGAGAAAAAAATTTTAAGTGAGACATTCTTTGGAGATTTTGAGTTTAAATAAAAGGACTGTGTTATATGTATGTATATATATATATATATATATATATATATATATATATATATAGGAATAAAAGAGGATTTATATATATATATATATATAGAGAGAGAGAGAGAGTTCTTGGCAACAAGTTTGTCTGAAAAAGTTAGTAAATGTGGGACAATAGTTTCTTTGAAGTTGCTGGTATCAAAGCAGATCTTTCTGAAGTGAGTGTCAATTCACTGATCATATTTCTTATGTTCTGAGCTTAGGACTTTTATAAACCAAATAAGAACATTCCAATTGAGACATTATTCTTCCTCTTTGTCACAAGAGAAATAAGATGAAAGAAATACTAGTGAAAAATGAATAATAATTGACAATACTTCATCAAAGAAATTTGAATCCTATTAATACTACTAGTAATAAAGTATATTTAAGTAAGCAGGGCAGATGAGAAATAAAGAATAAGCCTCTAATAAAAAGCAAGAGAAATAAGATGAAAGAAATACTAGTTGAAAATGAATAATAATTGACAATGCTTCATCTAAGAATTTCATCTGTGACTATTCCATTTATTTTTTTTTATATTTTCAGATAATGAAAAGAAATATTAACAGAGTTTCTCAGATCGTCTCTTCATTTGTGGATACTGGAAAATTTATACAAAGTTGTTTTGATCATGAATCAAAACCGCGAAGCATCACTGCCTTTATTGTGAGTACAGACACTGAATTTGTTTTGTTGTTCTTCAATTGTTGCCATATTGTAATGATGACCTTTATAATTTCTAGTTGCATTTTCCTGATTTTTTAATACTGACCCAAATTCTGGTTAATCATTCAGAAATACTATTCTGTTAAAAGAAAATATTTAAATGACTAATACTGTTTTTATTTACTTCCATTGGCTGAGTAGCATGTTTAAACACATTACAAAATAATTAAGACCATTAACACAGACACTACATACTATTTTGAAATACTATTTTACAGAATTCTTCACAATTTTATGTATGTTTGTTGCTAGTTCAGTACCTGTTGCTTTGCTAACAGCAAGATAATCAAATTTTAAATCTAAATTGTTTGTCCATTTAAAATACGACATTTATTAGAAGTATGTATTTGGGTTAAACACAGAAGTCATTTATATGAACGGGGCATTTATGATATTAGTTTGGTACATGTCACTTCGCTGATGAGATAAATTTTAAATCTAAATTGTTTGTCCATTTAAAATACAACATTTGTTAGAAGTATATATTTGGGTTAAATACAGAAGTCATTTATTTGAACTGGCATTTATGATATTAGTTTGGTAGATGTCACTTCACTGATGAGATAAATTTTAAATCTAAATCATTTGACCATTTAAAATACTTCAGTGATACACCTTTGTTTCACACACACCATCATATCAGACATCATTTTGCCACATTGACATTTATAGGGAAACCAAAAAAAATGAATTATTTGGTAGAAGATTCATCCTCCAATGATATCTTGGATGAACAAAATAAAGTAAAGGACATTCATTTTCTATTTACTAGTTCAGTACAGGAAACTTATACTTAACATCAGGAAGAAGCATTTGAAATTTTGGGGGCATATAATGAAGTAAGAAGGCTTGGACAGATTGAGGGACAGAGGAAAGCAATGCATAACATACTTGATGAGCTTGAGTAAATGGGTCATAGAACAGGGTTTGGGAGAAATAACAAAAAGACAAAACTTATTAACAGCTACTAGGGACAGGAAGATGTGGAGGGCCATGATCACCTATGTCCTGAAGAGACATGGCAGATAAAAGAAGCTTTGCTGGTGGTAAGATGATCAAATTTCAAAACTTAATTGTTTGTCCATTTAAAATATTAAATTTATTAGTTTAAATACAGAGGGAGTTATAAAAATGACTTAAAAAAGGATGGTTTATGCTGATTTCCTGTTACCCAGGTACGGTTGTCAGACAGAAAGAGAAATTAACCCTCTCAAAACAGATATCAATTTCATTTCAGTAAGAGGTATTCATTTTGCATTTACTGTTTCAGTATCTGTAGCTTCACTGATGGCAATTATATGCCATGCGCGATAGACGCTTAGGCAATCATGTATCTTTTGATGCATGACTGACAAGGCAGATTTCTTTCCCGCAGTAGATTGCCATTTCTTTCTGCTGTAGACTAGTTGCCATCCAAGGCTACAGAACCCAGTCTGTCCTGCTATTTACCCATAGCTGGGAGGAGAAGAAGAGGATTTCTACCTTTCCCAAGGGTATTAGCACATAAGTGAATGTAATGGATTTGAATGGAATTCAAACTTGGCTCTCTGATTCCTCAATCAGTTATTTGTCATGCGTGATACACGCTTAGGCAATTATGTATCTATCAATACAAGAATGACGAGGCTGATCTAACTAATCTAGTTACATTCTGTCACTGCCGATCAGCCCCTGAACTAGCACCAGTTACGATGAACGAATGCCTCCTCAAGGAGGCACCGTGCTTTGAGAGACTAGTGGGCCTAAAACTCACACCTGACCTCAAGTGGAACTCTTACATACAATCCATAGCTAATGATACAGGCAAAATTGTCGGATACCTGTCAGTCAGTTATGTGCCAGTGCCATCCGTGATACCCGCTTAGGAGATCATGTATCTTCTGATCATTTTTTCCCGCAGTAGGTTGCCATTTCTCTCTGCGGTAGACCAGTTGCCATCCAAGGCTACAGAACCCAGTCTGTCCTGCTATTTACCCATAGCTGGGAGGAGAAGAAGAGGATTTCTACCTTTCCCAAGGGTATTAGCACGTAAGTGAAAGTAATGGATTCAAGTGGAATTTGAACTCGGCTCTCTGATTCCTAAATCTGAGCCACTATCCATTATACCACCATGCCTCCTCATCACAACAAGCTGATCAAATTGTTTGTCCATTTAAAATATTACATTTATTATAAAATATAATTAGTGTAAATAAAAATGGCATCAAATGACAAGATGATCAAATTTCAAATTTAATTTTAGCTTATACTCTATTCTATACCCAGGATTTGTTGCTCAACAAATAGTGCCGACAGTTTCATTCAAATTGTATGTATGTTAGCATGTGTACATTCATATTTTAATTCACTGGCAGATTAAAAAATAGACTTTAAAAATAATTGTATTTTTACCAAATAATTTTTAAAAAATTTAATAAAATCTTTTAAGTTTTAAAAAGTTAAGGTTTCTTTCTTTCTCTCCAACTTTAAGATGGGAGATTGTCCAGACAGTGTAGGAAGGGAATGTATTATTCCAATGTCTTATTTCAAAACTCACACACAATCAATGTATTTTGACTATATAAAATGTCGCAAACACATTGAAGTCACTCATACACAACACTGATATATACATTGGTCAAAACATTGTGATATTAACAAAGAAGCAAATTGTGATTATTTTTGTCTGAATTTCTAGCATGTGGAGTCATTATTATTTACATTATTCACATGTGGATATGGGCAGTGGAATGAGAACAATCTAATTCCATAGATTGAATAAAGGGTTCGGTTTGAAATTTTCTGAAAGTTACATGAATAAACAAGCACCTGATGGAGGCTAGAGAGCACAATGGCCATAGCAAAGAGGGCACTAGTTTGCATGTAAATAATGTAAAAAAAAAAAAAAAAAAGAATAGAGAAATAAAGAGCAAAGAGAGAGAGAAAAATATATAATTACCAGAGATGAATTGAAAAAAAAAAAAAAAACATAGAAAGGATAGGACGTTGATAGGACGTTGTGGAGAGCCATAATCGCCCATGTCCTGAAGGGACACAGTACAAAAAAAAAGAATAGGAAGTAAAGAGCAAAAAGAAAAATATATAAAAGAGAGAAAAAAAATATAATAATCGCCCATGTCCTGAAGGGACCATACAAAAAAAGGATAAAGTAAAAAAAAGAAGAGAAAAATTTTAAAAATATAAAAAAATATAAAAAAAAAAAAATTTAAAAACAGTTAACTATGTAAATTTCTCTCTAAATTTCTAAGATGTTGAGTTAATATTATTTATGTTGCTTACATGTGGACATGGTGAGTGGAATAATAACAATCTAACCTCATAGACTACATAAAGGATTTGGTTTGAAATTTTCTGAATGTTACTTGAATAAACAAGCACCTGATGAAGGCTGGAGGGTAGAATGGTTGAAACATTGTGATATTAACAAACAAGCAAATTGTGATTATTTTTGTCTGAATTTCTAGCATGTTGAGTTATTATTATTTACGTTATTCACATGTGGATATGGGCATTGGAATGAGAACAATCTAACCCCATAGATTGAATAAAGGGTTCAGCTTGAAATTTCTTGAATAAACAAGCACCTGATGAGGACTAGAGAGCACAATGGTTGAAACATTATTATTATTTCCATTAATTACATGCAGACATTGCCAGCATAATGAGAACAATCTAACCTCATAGATTAAATAAAGGGTTCAGTTTGAAATTTCATGAAAGTTACACAAATCAACAAGTAGATCCTATTAATATAAAGTATTAAAAATGATCCACAAAAGAGATCTCAGTATAATCTTTATTATAGAGCACATAAGTGAATTACAATAAATGAGAGCCAAACAATTTACGTTTGGATATCATTAATTCTAATTCACACACACAAAATATATATATATAAAATATGTGGTGCAGTTCAATTTATATTACATGAATCATTCGTACAAAAAGTAGATTAGTAAAGTTAATGATATAATGGCGAAAAACATCTTCGCAAACAAATTTATTAAAGTTACATTAACCCACAAACCCCTCGATGAATGTTATGATCCTTGTTTTTAATAATTTGAAGTTGTATAAGGTCTTTTTTTATTTTGCTAGTACTTTCAGCTGTACTTACAGCCATCCTCAGGCATGGAAATTAATTTGTTTTTTTACAAATCCAGGTAGTAGCCAGACACAAAAGATTAAATGCAAATTGAAATATGTTTTTTTTTAGAAATGTGTTATTATTAACAGATAAGAAATTTTTGGGAGCATGCAGTTGCAACGCCAAGGTTGAATTTATTTTTTTTTGAAAATTTAAGAGAGTGCTTTTTTTACTAATATGGCAATTCGAGAATTTTTTTGTTGTAGGAGTTTTTCAGTTGATGTGGCATGAATGATTCATATATATATATATATATATATATATATACACACAATCTATATTCTTGATAAGGGTTAATAGATTAGCCAAAAAAAAGCACTTGGATCTACTACAGATCATTTGGACATATGTCCAGATGAGATAATACTTGTACAACTGCAAGAAAAATTCAATAAAAAAAAGCTTATCAGTTGTCTTATATGTGTATGTGTATATATATGTGTATGTACACATACATACATTTATGTATGTATATGCAGATGTTGACAAATTAAGAAGTACGTGTGTGTATGTACTGGTTCCATGTAGCTTGGGAAATATGTGTGTATATGTGTGTGTGTGTACTGATTACTTGTGGTGGGATAGTGTGTATGTGTGTGTGTGTATGCGTGTATAGGTACAAATAAGTTTACGAATTCCTCGTAGTAAGACAGTATGTATGGAGGGGAAATATACGCACACATATATACACGCATGCTGACAGGAACACAACAAAATGGAAACAAATCCAAGAGCACATAGGGGTCACTAAAACATTAAAAGATAAAATGCCGATAACTACCGCTGGACAAAC